TTGTGGCTCGGAATGGATTATGAAGTCCTCATATTTGACATAGGATGGCATGGTATACACGATATATTATGTAGGGTTGAGATTGCGTGTAAGGTTACAGTTCAGTTTCGGAAGGAAGGTTATAACTTCTTAGGCAGTATGGACAGTTTTAGATGACTAGACAAATGAGATCACTGATTGGTGTGGCTGGATGAGGGTATACATTTCAGAAAGGGCGATGTGTTGAGTTATGGATACTTCATTGGTATGGCAACACTCTCTTGTTAGATCGACTGTTAATATTCAAGTTCGCTTTGTAGCATAGGAGAATTTTAGGAGTATCCATCGTGGAATGATCGAGTATCAGATGTGTGTTAGATGTTCGATAGCGTAGCTGGGATCGGATATGGTGATTCGTGTGCTTTATGGATTGGGAGACTGAGAGCTTTCATTTCATGGGTGGATGGTTTCGTGGTTGTGGATTGTGAAAAAGTAGCCAAGGTTAGTCAGAGGGTAGCATGCGTTTTGATTCAGTCACTGTGGACTTTCGTAGGGTTATTTATCTGTAGTGGGTGACCAGAGTTGATTTGTGGTTCATTGGTAAGCCCAACATGGATGTGTGTTCTGCACCGGGTCGGAAGTGTTGAATCCGAACTGTTATTATTGAGAGATGTGCCATTCGATTGTTGTTGAGCTTATCCGTGATCTATGAGTTACTCTTCTGTGCTACCAGGAGTTGTGATTTGTTGGTTATATGTGCATATGGTGCGTTTCCATTTGAGCTTTATGTAAGGAATTGAGCGAGACAGGTAATTGGGCGTTGCATGATTTGTTGCGCATTGGGTATGTTTTTTCGGACTGATATTGCATTGCATCATTTGCTTCTCCATGGTTATGGTGATTCACTTTTGGGTTCTAGGCATCAAATTGCGCTTGGTTGATGATTTTGAGCATGGTAACTTGAGGTGTCTCATGTGAACCAGTGTCTGGATAGGGTCGCGCATTGCGGCGAAGTTATGTCGAGCTATGATCCTTCGGGTTAGACTCGTGTGTTCTAGTTCTATGATGTGTGATGGGTTCTTAGCATTGTGTTGCGGTGGTACTAGTGAGCCTACGGTACAACTCTCTCATTTGATTCACTTTCCATGGTTTGGGTACATTGGGACTGTTGCTTATTGGTGCACGGGTTGCACGAGTTGTGGCTTTAGATTGTATTGATGTGTCATGTTACCAGAGTAGTTGTGTTGGATTAGATGAGATCGTTGGGATCTAGAATGAATACAAACAGATTCGATTTTAGTGTGTTGGAAGGATAATATTGATGCTCGGCTCAGAAATTTGCTATGACCCTTGCCAAAGGAGAGGGAGCTTCATGAATGGTTGATCTGAGGAATGGTTATGGCTTTCTGCGTGTTTCATTCGTCATTGGCAGTATACGAAAGTGTTGGAATGAGGCTTTATTTGATAAGAGGTTTATTATCGATATTCGATTGTTTGAGCAACTACTGTGATTAGAATTATCGCTACGAGTGTTTGAGTTATGTGGTATATCCTGTAAGTGCATCTGAGGTTGCAGGTACGGTTCATCACAGCTAGTTCGAACTTATTTAGTGTATAGATAGGAGATTCTGATCTTAAAGATGATTTCGGAAGTGGAAAATTGGTTCCAAGGTTTATGGGCTAGGATGGATTGTGGAATTTCATTTGCATTGTATTATCGGACCTATATGAGATAGGGTGATATGGGATCACCCTCGAGTATGTGCATGGTAAGGTTACACAGCGATCTGATGGTTTTCGGAACAACTCTGGGCACGTTCGAGGACAAACGTATGTTTAAGTGGGGGAGGATGTAACGACATGACCTGTCGTTTTGAGCTTTTGCACTTCACTCGCCAATTCTCGGGCATGACTAGCCCCGTGTGATGTATTATGACTTATGTAAATCGTCGGCTTTGATTTTCAGGGTAATCGGAATGAATTATCTAAGCAGCTTTCCCCTCTCCTCTACGGAAGTAATCTTTTAGAAGAACAATTCTCAATTTCAAGCTTAAAACTTCAAAGGTCTGACCAAGTTTTGACTTGTTAGTATATGATTTCGGATTGGAATTTTTATGATTTGGTTAGCTCCTTTAGGTGATTTGGGACTTAGGAGCGTAATCGGAATGTATTTTGGAGGTCTGTGAAAGGTTTAGGCTTGAATTGGCGAAATTAAAAAAATTGGTATTTTCCGGTTGGTAGTGGAAATTTTGATATCGGGGTTGGAATGGAATTCCGGAAGTTGGAGTAGGTCCATGGTATCATTTGTGATGTGTGTGCAAAATTTTAGGTCATTCGGACGAGGTTTGATAGACTTTTTGATCGAATTTGGAATTCGGCAGTTTTTGGGATTCTTAGGCTTGAATTCGATGATGATTTGATGTTTTGATGTTGTTCTGGGCGTTCCGAGGATTGGAAAAAGTTTGGATAATGTTATGGATATGTTGGCATATTTGGTTGAGGTCCCGAGTGCCTCGGGTGAGTTTCGGGTGGTTAACAGACCAATTCTTGGTTTTGAGTGTTAGCAGATTTTTGCTGGTTTTCTGTTGTAGAAGGGTTGTTCATCGCGTTTGCGGGAGGGCCTCACGTTCACGAAGAATGTTTTCTGAGATGGTAATTTTGTTCTTCGAGTTCGCGAAGGTGTGGACGTGAACGCGAAGGTTGATCTGAGTATTCATCGCGTTCGCGAGGAGGCTGTCGCGTTCGCGATAGTTGAGCTGGTAAAGGTTCGCGTTCGCGAGTGGGCCATCGCGTCCGCGTAGAAGGATTTCCGAGGTAGAGGCAATTGCATTTCGCGAACGCGAGGGAGCTATCGCGTTCGCGAAGGGTTAAATCTGGGCGGCAGTGTTAAATATTAAAATCGAGGGTTTGAACCCATTTATCATATTTTGGGTTAGAGACCACGGAATTGGGCGATTCTTTAAGAGAATTTCAGAGAAGTGGTTGAAGTAAGTATTCTTCACTCATATCTAGACCAAAGCTATTGGATAATAGGGAATTCAGAAATGCAGAATAGAAGATGGAAGATAAAAGAAATAAACTGATGAGAGTCCAGAGTTAGATGCGGCAGAATTGTAATGAGATTATGCTGGAACAAGAAAGAAATGTTTTGCAAAAGTTAGAAAAATGGCCAATGGTTGAAGAAAGCATTATGAAGCAGAAGACAAGAGCTAAATGGATACAATTGGGGGATGCAAATACTAAGTATTTCTCAGCTGTAATGAAGGAGAGGAAACACAGGAAGCAGTTAAAGGAATTGACAACTATAGAAGAAATGAAGATAAATAAACCAAATGAAATTAAAGAGGAGATCATTAGATTCTATAAGAGTCTAATGGGCACAGCAGCAAGAAGTCTTCCAGCAGTAAATAGAACAGTCATGAAGAAGGGGCCAACACTGAATCAAGAACAAAGGCAGCTACTATCTGCAGAAGTTACTAAGCAAGAAGTTTTTGAGGGCCTAAAAGGTATATGGGATCACAAGGCATTAGGTATTGATGGGTATATTGTTGTGTTTTTCAAAAAAAAAACATGGCACATTATTGGCAATAAGGTGACTACAACAGTGCAGGAATTCTTTTCAACAGGAAGATTATATAGAGCCATTAATTGTACAGCTATCACCTTGATCCCCAAGACAGATAATCCAACAACAATCAAAGAATATCGACCTATAGCATGTTGCACAATACTATATAAACTGGTCCCCAAGATCCTAGCAGCAAGACTACAAAAGGTGATTGAAGGTATTATATGTGAAGCACATGCTGGATTCATTCCTGGGAGGAAAATAGGTGATACAATTATAATAGCTCATGAACTAGTTAAGGGGTACACGAGGAAGCATGTATCACCAAGGTGTATGATAAAAATAGACTTGCAAAAGGCCTATAATTCAGTGGAATGAAGCTATTTGGAGCAGAATATGAGCCTACTGGGATTTCCTGAAAAGTTCATAGCTTGGGTTGGAATGTGTCAAAATAGTGAACTATACTATCATGGTGAATGGAGAGCCAAATGACCCCTTCAATGTTGAAAAGGGAATTAGACAAGGATATCCTATGTATTCATTTCTATTTGCAATTGTAATGGAATATCTAAGTCGAACCTTAAAGGAAATGGCAGTGAAGAAACAATTCCATTACCACCCTAGATGTGCCAAACTAGAACTAACTCATTTATGTTTTGCAGATGATCTTTTGATATTTTCCAGAGGAGATGTTGCTTCAGTGACTGAAGTTCTTAACAGTTTCAATCGGTTCTCAATAGCCTCAGGATTGCAAGCAAATGTAGGGAAGAGCTCCACTTATTTTGGAGGGGTAACATAGAATGATCAAGAACAGATACTGAAGAAGCTGGGATTCACAAAAGGAATGCTGCCTTTCAAGTATCTGGGAGTTCCACTATCTACTAAAAAGTTAACAATGATGCAGTGGCAGCCCCTCATTGAGAAGATTGTAGCAAGAATCACATAATGGACAGCAAAAAAATTGTCTTATGCAGGAAGAAGTCAATTGATAAGCAGTGTTTTATTTGGTGTACAATCCTACTGGGCTCAATTATTTATCCTGCCAGCAAATGTGATGAAAGCAGTGGAAAGTTTCTATAGAAGCCATCTATGGACGAGCAACAATGTCATCACAAAAAAAGCATTGATCAGTTGGGAGAGAGTCTGCTGCCCTAAAAAGTAGTGGAGGATGGAACCTAATAAACCTGAGAATCTGGAACAAGGCTGCGATTATCAAATTATACTGGGATTTGGCAAGGAAAGAAGATAGGATGTGGATAAGGTGGATTCATGCATATTACACAAAAGGGCACCAGTTGGAGCATTTAACAGTTCCAAAACAAGCAAGTTGGATGGTGAGGAAAATAATGGAAATAATGAATATACTAGCATAGGATACTATACACATTTGCAGGAAAAAGGGTGTCAGTAAGGAAACATACCTTCATCTACTGGGAGATCAACCGAGAATACCATGGAAATGCTTGATGTTTGGGAATGCTGCAAGACCAAAAGCAAAGTATGGTTACAAATGCAGAACAAACTACTTACTGCTGATAGGTTGAACAAATGGGGCATGATGATTGATACCAAATGCAGTTTATGTCAGAAAGCAGAGGAAACTAGAGACCATCTATTTGTGGAATGTGAATATACGAAAGCAATGATGCATAAGCTAATGAGCTGGACACAAAATCAAAGCATAGTAGCAAGTAGCTGGGAGCAACATGTGCAGAAGGTGATCAAACGAGCTAAAGGCAAGTCAAAGGAAGCCCAACTATTCAAGATGTTATATTCTGAGTTAGTACATTATATATGGATAGAGAAAAATAGAAGGATTTTTGAGAAGACAAGTATAGGATGGAAGAGGATAGCCAAAGAGATCACATGTGTTTGTTATGTGCGGCCATTTTAAGGCTCATTCATGTGGCAGGCCGGCCCGACCTAGCCCACAAAATTTAAAAGCCCACGAAGTTTCGGCTAGGCTGGCCCGTTTTGAAAGTTCTAGTTTTGATGCCTTAATAGTGAAATTGTGAGAGAAGAGAGTAACAGATGATTGTTCCACTCTCTTCTTCGTGGACTTGGACTTCATTCGTGGAGTTTGAACTACCACACTTCAAACTCGACGAATTTTTCTTGGAGTTCAGACTTCACCTTTCATACACTAAGAATAATTCGTGATAAATATTCACTTTTAGTAAAAGTTCCTAGAGTTTTTTCGTATTTTGGCTAAGGATTTTGTCAAAAAATTATTTTTGCATTAAAAAGTGGCTAGATATTGAAGAATTTCTAAATTCGATAACTATTTTTCAAGAAACTAATGAACAACAAAAAATGAATGGATGGAAATTATTTACACCACCAAACTTTGCTAAAAATCAAATTACCCTTCTAGTTTGAACCTTAGTCATCCTCTCCCTTGTTTCTGAATTAACTTTTTTAAATGCCTATTTCAACCTCTATAGTATCAACATTTATCTCTTTTACGTTTTTTATTTTTTTTAATGTTTTTAGTATATCATGATAATTTTTTGTTTTTTGATATCTATGTTATAAACTTACCTACATTATAACTAAATTCTATTTTTAAAAGTAAAAATAAATAAATAATAGTAATCAAGCTCATAATCTAGCTATGTTTAATAATGAAAAGGATGAGCGGAATAGAAATTAAAAAAAATTGCTCATATCAATAATTATATTAATAGCAAATTAAATTTCAAAAATCTATTTACGCAATCGAAAATAAAAGATGGTGATAACCTTATAAACATATAATTCAATGCAGGTAATATAAAATTGGGAAATTTTCATAAAGCACTATCTTTTAGTAGTAATTAGTCATCTATAGATACCATTTGCTATATTACGGATTATAGATACCTTTTATGTGGTTATAAGATGTATTTGATATATTTAAGCTATTGTATTCATGAATACAATAGCAAAAATAGGTGTGAATCAGGGAAGTCCAGCTAATCAGTTGTTGTATTCGAGTGTATTCGACTGTATTCATGGAGTGAAACATGGGATTACAGCTGGACAGATTATTGTATTCGACTGTATTCACGGCGTGAAATAGGGGATTACACTGTTTTTAAAACGAAAAGTGAATCAATTAACATAATAGACTCCTAATATAACTCAACAAACTCAATTATAACACACGAATTTTATATTTTCAGTTATAAAAAAGATTTTCAACTGAAAAATACCCCAAAAACATAGCAATCTTCAGAGAAATTATATAATACATCTGAATACATAAATTATATTAATTAAAAAAACTTATGAATACATTCATGGCATATAGCGAGACAGTGAATACAATGAAATACATAGAATACAGCGGGATACATTAAAATACAATGAGAAAAAAAGATAGTGAATACAATGAAATACATGGAATACAACGAGACACATTGAATTATACAATGAAAAAAAAGACAATGAATACAATAAAATACATGAAAATACATTGAAATATATTAACAGAAAATCAAGTTGCTCAACCCCAAACTCCATCGTCTTTGTTCAAGAACAAACAAACCAGATTATATGTCGGTGACTGCTGTTCAAGAATCAGTTTAATGTCGGCGGCTATTGTTGTTGGTGAGAATCTTGAACATAGCAATCTTCAAGAATCAGTGCATCTATTATAATGGGATGGGGGCTTTGAACAAGAATCAGTTTTGACTGATAATTAATATATCTATAAATCAAGGAAACAAGGGACAGAGAAAAGGAGGGAGGAGAAAATCAATTTTATTGGCATAAAGATTGTTGGTGAGAATCAAAGGCAAATTTTATAACAAACTCCTAAAAAATTATCTATTTACCACTTATAAAATGTAACTTAAATATATACTCAATACGCATTATACTATAATAAAAATAATAGTTTTTTGATAAATTTATAAAAGGACCATTCTATTTATAATTTTAATAAATTTAAGTTATAATTTTGTAATAAGTTATATAATAATATAATTATAGGTTCACAAAAAGTAGCATTTAATATTTTTTTTTTAAGATTTTAGAAATTTTAATTGAGATGATCATTAACTATTTACAATATACGAGGAGTATTAATTTAACTAATGGAGAAGAAAATCATGAAAGAGTTAGGGAGCGTCACTGAACCAATTAACATATGAAGTATAATAAAAATTTTGAGTAGAGTCTAGGAGTCCATTAAATTGGAACTTTTGAGTACTCGGATTATAAAATATTTATTACACACACTTAAAAGAGTTTATAGGAATATCAAGTCTTAGTATGATAAATAAATTAATGTGGCAAAAAGTCCAGCATATCAAATGAGTCACTGTGTTTGTGACACAAATTTTGAAGTAATAAAATTGACTTGCAAAGTATAGGGTAGAATTATTAAATCTAGGAATTAACCAAGCATGCAACCTTGTAATGGGGCTTGGGGCTTTCATGTAATTACAATGCTGGTTCAATTGAATTGAAAAAATTGATATCTTGCTTAAATGTGTGTCTAAGAGTAATTAGAGTTTAGTTTTCAATGAAGAACAAATATATGAAAAGAACCAGTTTAAACTAGACTTGCTTTAATTACCATAATGAAATAAACACGAGATAAATTTACTTATATCTATTTGATTCATCTTTTCTTAAATAATGGAAGAATATTTAGTTTTAACAAAAAAGTAGTATATTAAATGAGATCAATTAAATCTTAATATCGTAGGTAAGAGTGAAAGGAAAAAATCCAAAAGAAGAATGAGCATGAATAGGAGAAAAAAGAGTTATAGTCGATTAATTGTAAGAGTACGAATGGTAGCGCTGTAGATAGACCGCAAGGCTAACATATATTGTCGACATGTTCAAATACCAAAAGCTTCTTCTCATTCTTATAGTAAAAATCCACAACAAGAAATAAGTTCTTGTACTTCGGACTCTCTCTACTCATAAACTGAAGGTAGTTGTTACGCAAAATTAGGGCACACCGAGATAGAGCAGAGCTACAATTGAAGATGACGACAATTCCTCTTCTGCGTTTTTCTTCCAATGGTATTTCCTTTGCTATTTCCCGTTCTGCTTCAGCATTTTGTACTTCGGACCAACCGCAGCCTAAGAAGCTTTTACAACCAATGGATGGGTTCAATCTTACGGATCCCAGTGCGTTAAGCCTCCAATTATCTATGGTGATGAGCAAGCACTAAGGTTTGAATTTTTAAGCTTAAACGCTTTTCTTTTCCTCATTCAGCGTCTCACACATCTAAGTTGACTGGTGTTTTGTTGCTGTTTAGATTTGAGACTTGCTATCAAATTGCTTTGGCCATTAAGGATGAGGTTGAAGATCTTGAGAAGGCTGGCATTGTCATTCAAGTTGATGGAGCTGCTTTAAGGGAGGCGTTGCCTCTTAGAAAGCCCGAGGAAGCTTTCTACTTGAACTTGGCTGTGGATTCATTCAGGATAACCAACTTCAATGTTCAAGACACTACCCAAACTTCAATGTTCAAGACACTACCCAGGTCGATATTCAGTCTCGTCCTCATTCTGCAAGTCAAATGATTATTATTATATCTGTCAATCTTTGTCTTCAAAAAAAAAAACTTATCTCTGTCAAAGTCTGTTGTGCTTAGCTACTTCTTCAGAAGTTTCCTATATCAGAATTTGTATCTTAGGTAGTCCATGTATTTTGCTACTAAACTAGCTTCTGAAACTCATGCACCTTTCGCTCTAAGAACAGGACGAAGGATAAGAATATGAATTAGATGAGTTTAAGGAACATTGTGTTTTCCCTACATTTCTGAAGGATTAACATGATGTCAAGCAGTATTGCAAGAAGGAGACGAAAAGATTCATAAGCAAATTCATATGTGTGAAATTGGTTCTTTCTTTCCAATAGTTGCCCAGTAAAGCTAAGAGCTGGATAGAACCAGGAGGTGTTTTTGTGTTATTGGGGAAGTTTTTATTTTAAGGTAGTATTTTTCTTCTTTGTCCCAGGGTTTTGGTTCGGTTGTAAAGCACAACGCGTGATGTTAGTCGTACATCATGAGTTCGAATCTTTGTTGCCGACAAAAGTTTGGTATTTAGGTGAAGATGGGTAGAGGGATGGGTCATTATCCGCCGAGTTTCAACTGCGCTAGCTGGTCCTCGGGGATTTGTCGATTATAATGAAACTAGTTTTTTTTTCTTTTACGTGGTTCTAATCGTCACTGCTATTTTTTGTGATAGATTCACACCCACATGTGTTATTCAAACTTCAATGACATCATCCATTCCATCAGAGCATTTTTTTTATTTTATTTTCTGAAACATTGGTAGTTCTTTGTTTATTCCCCTATTCCTTTTATCCTGTTTAGTTGTGATTGCTGTGAAAAAATAACTTCCATTTGTTGGTCTACTCTAAGCGCGCGCTCTCTCTCTCTCTCTCTCACACACACACACACACATGTGGAGAAACACTTTAGCTGTTCCATATCCAATCTTGCTACGATTGAGCAGATTTAATTTTCAGACACATGTCAAGCCAGTCAATTTTTGACGCTTGTACTGGAGAATATTGCTTAATGTGCTATCACATAATTTTCGGATTAGAAATCCAATGAAAAATAATCAACAGTAAATACTTTGTTAAATAGCTGCTCAGCCGTGCAAGAAGATGCCGATGCAGCATATATACAATGGGTTCAAATGATGCAGGCCTTCAGAGAGCACAACATGAGATGCATACAATTTCATCTCATTAGCACTTAATATTTACTTAATTGATGGTTTTAAGATTCATAGCAAGTTGATTGATTACATTTTAGAAATGCAAATACCCCATCCAAATTTGAGCTACAGAAAGACTAGTTTCATTTCTTTAGCTTCATTCGCAGATTTCATCATGTTGGCAGCATAAAGTCCAGACCAAGAACCAACAGAGCAACAAGAGTCTAGAGTCATTTTCATCTTTTTCCTTTGCTTCTTCAGGTTTGCAGCGAAACAGCTAGCATTTCCGGTCGTGTCATCATCCGTCGCATCATCTTCATATTCACTGTAAGAGCTACTTTTATCTGCTGGGGATTTTTCTGGAAGGCTTTTAGCTTCTGTTTGCTCACTGGTTTTAGGACTAGTGTTCTTTTGCTGGCTCTTCAGCAGGGGTATTATCAGCATTATCCTGCTTAGTAAATTCATCTCTTAGAGTGATCTTCTGTCTTTTAGGCTTTAGCCAGGGGTATTCTCAGCTTCTGTGGCTGGCAATTCCTTATCTTTCTGTGCTGCTGAAGTTATATAAGTTTTGGCTGTTTAACATGAAGAGTGCCATTTTCAAACTTCGCATTGACGTTGCTTTTGTCACAAATTTCTGCAACAGGAAAGTCCTGAAACCTTTGCTATTTGTTCTGCACAGTCGGCCTTTGTCCACTGATTTTCTGAATTCCTATTCTGGTCAGTTGAACCCTTAGCTGTTCCTTCTTGAAACCAGAGGCAGACCCAAGTGGTGAGAAGTGGGTTCGCTTCGTCAAAAAATAATACTATGTATATGTATAAATTATGGCTAAAGCAAGGTAAATTTTGTATAGAAATTATTTTTGAACCCGCTTATACAGCTTATACCGCTTATGTTAGTTATGGACTTCTCCGACTGAACCCGCTTGCACAAAATTCTGGGTCCGCCACTGTTTGAAACCTGACAAATTTCAGTCTTTTCAGTGCGTTATCATATATGAACTCAACATTCGGCTGTGATGTCGATCGATACATGGTTTCTCAGGTGACATAAGACAGGAAAATAAGTTACTGTGATATGTGACGTTTTCATCCAATTATTAACATTTTGTTTGGAGAATGTTAACATTATACTGGGCATAGTGCAAAAATCTCATCCAGCAGTTTAGCAAAATTTCGTTTCAAAGAGTCTGTAATTTCTTTTTGTGTTGTAATTTAGTTGCACGTGCACTAGATAGACTCATACTTTGTACTATATTTTTATTTTTATAAATAAATGCTAAAAAGTATGTGTACATACTAAGAGGTGCACCCACTTCTTTTAAATTCTGATCAATTCATTTATAATTTACTCCCCTTCTAGAAAAAAGATAATCAACAACTATGCCTCAGTTTCAAGCAAGTTGGAGTCGGCTATGCGAGTTCTCACTCTGTGTCGCGTAGGTGTGATAAAAGAACAACACCTCGAAGATTAAGGTGAAGAGGGTCAGTGTGTGTGTTCTTGAAGCAGCTCAGCTTTGATGTTGACACAAAATCTTCATATAATTGAGTTGTAGTAGAAGCTGTAGCTTCCTTTGATTCCATTTTCTGTTTTTCTTTTCTTTTCTTTTTGCTAATATGTAATCTTCCTTTTATCCTCTGTTCTTTGTTTTTGTTGATGGAAAGGATGTTGTTTTGTTGTAGTCTTTTATACGAATATACCACTAGGCAATAATAAATAACTCAAAATTGTCCCTTACAAGATGAAAATAATATGAACTTGCACAAATAATAAAAGCTAGAATCAATTTAGAGTTTATAGTATACTCTAACTTGATTTTACAAAGTGACCTAGCATGAATGAAAACTTTATAAAAGGCACAAATGATAAAGCACCATCGAACTGGTAACTTATGTGCATTTCCTTTTATTCATCTTTAGAAGCTATGACTATTTTTTCCAACTGTCTATTTCTCCTTTTTCGGGCCAAATCTTTAAAAAATTCGGCTTGAACTAATTTTTCTTAGCCAAAGTTACGGAGTTTCAGTTGTACATTTCTTTTTCTTTTTTCCTTTAGATGTAATGACTATTTATTTTATTTGTGTATTTTTCAGGGTTAGCTCTACAAAAAAAAGGTTGCCAAATACACTTCAGAGAGCATTGGTTCCTTCCCGTATTTTTGCTCCTAGTACATTTAGGCATTATATGGGTTATGTGCATTACACGTAGGGTCTATAAAATGTGATACGTATATGTATTCATAATTTTTCATATGCAAACACTATTTTTTTAATCAAAAACTTGTTCCCAGCTTTTTGGGACATGCCAATTTTACTTATTCGATTATGACTTACCAATTCTGCACTGTGCATAGAGGAGACATGAAAAAAGTCCTTAGTCATTTCGCGTACGAAGAACCGCTTAGCAAACTCCAACGCACCAACTGATGATACTAACGATTTCTCTAACAAAAATGGAACGTTTAGTGGCGAAATTAGCTCGTGATAACGCCTCGGCCACCTGTCCCCTTGTCCATAGGGACCTCGTGGCATACAACCGAAACGACTCCCTCTAGGTAGTGCCTCTTTCTTTTTACAACCTCGTGGACAAACGAAAGAAGGGAAGTCACAAAATGGGATAGTAAAGGCTCGCGAAGTAGACAGCAAGCATCAAGCAAGAGCTTCTCAGTCCCCTAACCTTTCCGGACACTACCACAAACTTGTCAGGAGCTTCTTGTTGTTTATTGAGAAGAGCCGTCCATTTTATCCGAGGAGGCAATGTTGATCATTTAGTTTATTTTCCCCCTTACTTTATAACATTATTAGATGCTCCATGACCACTGTGCTTTAGGATGTGGTATACGAAACTTATATTTATTTATTACGTGTACTCGTTAAGTTACACTTATTAAAATGAGTGTTGGTTTACTTAGTAGGTAAAAGTCTGTTAAGTGCGCATGATGCCTCAAGTTTTCACATGATCACGTGAATCAGGAGTCTAATTTGCTAACTATTTCTAGAAATTAATGGACGACATAAAAGGAATGATAAAGATAACTCCTGGGGAAGTGAACGGAGGAAAAAAGGTAATAAACTAACCTACTCATAAATTGCACTTGTTAGGCGTATTTTAATGGTAAAACTTATGCGAAGAATATATTGATCATCTCAATAAATATATGACACGTATTTTTACATATACTTTTATCATTGATAGTAGTTAATTAACACATTCTAATCTTAATTTAAGATTTAACCATGATAATTAATATAATTTGGTGTAAATATTGCGTGGAGATAATTTTTTACCAAGTTTGGTGAGTCATTTCACTAAAAATAATCCTCAAACAATCTTTTCAACTTTAATTTCAGTGATGTGAATTAAGATTGATTAAGTACAAACCAATATGGAGATTGCTTATACTTGAAATAACACCCCACCAAGCAAGTTTTCTGCAAAATTAGTTAGCGATACTATAAATTAGAACAAGGAAGACTAAATTAGGGAATTTAACAATTAACTGGACAACCCCTTGTCGTATTTCAGCTCCTTCTTCAATTAGGGCACAGAGATCGCAAACAGAATTTCTCTTCGCCAATTGCAATCAGATGACGAGAATTTCTCTGCTGCGTTACTCTATGGTATCTCATTTTCTGCTATTTCACGTTCTGCTTCGGCAATCCGATATTATTTCTTCATCTCATAGCAATATTGAGAATGTCAAGTGTTTAGATGATGCTCTGACTCTCTTTCATCTCTTCCTTTTGTTTTTAGCTTCTCCAAATTATTAAAAACTATGGTTAATATGAAGCATTACTCTTCTGTTGTTTCCCTTTTTCGAGAAATGCGGAAATTAGGCATCCCAATTAATGATTTCATCTTGAACATAGTGATTAACAATTATTGCCTAATGCATTGTTCTGACTGCGGATTTTCAGTATTAGCCATTTACTTGAAGAATGGCATTCCATTTGATGTTATCACATTTAACACCTTACTAAGGGGACTCTTTGCTGAAAATAAAATCAAAAATGCTGTTAACTTGTTCAAAAAGTTGGTGAGAGAGAATATTTGTGAGCCTGATGAAGTCATGTATTTGACAGTCATGAATGGGCTTAGCAAAAGGGGCCATACTAAAAAAACTTTCGATTTGCTAAGAGTAATGGAACAAGTAAGCATCAAGCCAGACACAAGAATCTATAGCGTTGTTATAGATGCTCTTTGCAAGGATAGAATGTTGGATGCTGCAATTAGCCTTTTCGAAGAGATGAAACAAAAAGGCATTCCTCTGGATGTTATCACATATAGTTCATTGATTGATGGTCTTTGGAAATTTGGTCAGTGGGAAAAGGTTAGGACTTTGTTCTCTGAAATGGTAAATCTTAATATTTATCCAAATGTGCAAACCTTGATCATACTCACTGATGGACTATGCAAAGAAGGGAAAGTTAAAAGATGCTGAGGAGGTAATGAGACTCATGAATGGAAAAGGTGTGGAGCCTAATGTGGTCACCTACAATGTGATAATTGATGGATATTGCTTGCGCGGTCAAATGGATAGACAAGGAGCCTTTTTGATTCCATGATTGATAAGAGCATTAAGCCTGACATTATTAGCTATAATATATTAATAAATGGATACTGGAAGAAAAAGAAATTGGATGAGGCCATGCATTTGTTTCATGAATTTCTTGAAACGGATTGAAATTTAGCATTGTTACCTACATACTATATTCCGAGGTCTATTTGAAGTTGGAAGAACTGACATTGTGCAAAAATTCTTTGCTGATATGCTTTCTATGGGGCTCATACCTGATTTATGCACTAATTGCATTTTGCTCCATGGTTATTTTCAGAATGGACTTGTCGAGAAAGCTATGTTGCTATTTCATGAGTTGGAAAGAAAGAGAGGAGATATTCATATTATGTTTTACAATGTTGTCATTAATGGATTGTGCAAAAATGGTAAACTTGACAAAGCTCATGCTATTTTTGAGAAGCTTTCATTAATTGGATTACTTCCAAATGTGACAACATACAATACAATGATAAATGGATTTTGTCATGAAGGGTTGTTAGGTGAAGCTAAAGATATACTAAGAAAAATGGAGGATAACGGTTGTTTGCCAAACAATGTCACTTACAATGTTATTATGCAAGGATTTCTTAGGTGCAGGAGAATTAGTGAAATGACAACTTTTATGAAGGAAATGGCTGGAAAGAGCTTCTCATTTGATGCAGCTACAACTGAGTTACTGATAAATGTTATAAGGGAGAATCCTCCATGTCAAGGACATGATACCAGAGCTTCACTAGAAAAATAGGAATTGAATATATATTCGCTTGGTTTATTCGGCTACACTATCACTGTGATACAATTCCTTTTACCTCTCTAAGAAATCGCGTCGTATGCAATTGAGTGAGCTGAAAGAGCTTTCCTGATGGGCCTATTAAGGAGGTACATCAATTTGATATTTCGATTGTTTTTCTACTTTTCTTTATCTTAGAAATCAAATGTTATTGCACTCTTGGTAAGAGAAATAATGATGAGTATGCTGATAAAAGGAAAAGAGAGAATGATGAGTTTCCTTGCGTGTAGACTTATTTAGTTTCGGAATATCAGTGCTATTAGTATCATCATCTATTATCATTTTCCATCTTTTTTAAGAATCAATAACCATTGCCTGTAACTGAGAAAATTGCTCTGGAAACATCTTTTTAATAGTTTCTAGGTCATAGTTACATCAAACCATAAAGAACACTAGAACCATATAGTATGAATAATTTTGGTTTTCCTGAAATTGAAATAAAACTTGTTCAAACCTGATGTAGGATATACTATAGATGAAGGGTCAACATTATATTTGAATTACTTAAGAATATATTTCGAAGTTTATCCATGATCCAAGAGTACTGGATGCTTATTGGGAATTCAGACTTTCATAGAGCAATTTATTGTCAGAGAAAAGTTCATTGGTCCTTTGACTAATTCAAAAAGGATTGTACTATGCATAATCCTTGTCAACTAACTTAGAAGATGGAGGGAACTGATTTCTTTTGAAGACGTAGAAATCTGTTTGCGGCTGTAATTTTTTTGTTTCTTTATTTTAGACTATGGATTTTAAGTAAGTTTAAATTATGATAGCTTTCATCTAGTTAGACTTTTTTTTCTTGCCTGATAGTCACTATCACAAGGATCTTTAGAGCAAGACCTTAGGCTGCTATTGTAAACAAATCTGTCTAAATCCAAAAGATGGTGTTCATAGGCAAAATTCAAGGAGCTAGGAATTCAAGCAATCATTTTTCATGGAAATGTAATCAAGAATGTTGTTCTAAGACATCTCCGCTTACTGAACCAGCAATGCAGCCACTTATATTTTCATGTTATGACTCGACTTCAGCTGCTTGTATGGAAGGACATGGTCTTCTAAAGCACGACAATATATGACATTTTGAAAGATGATGCTGTGCACAACAGATGATACTATGTTATGATGCTGTGCAGCGGGTAAATTTACATTTTGTATTTATATTCACGCTTATGTAACGTTGCTTCTGTAGTGAGAATTTGAGATAACTGATTGTTTGCTTCAATGCAGAACACAAACCGTATTGTTGGAGCCTCTGGTGGTTTTGGAAACTGGGGAAAATAAATCAATTGCTGGAATTATTAGAGAAAGAGGTGATACCTCTTTGCTTTTTTGTACTAATTTTGAATTTTGAACTATGATCATGCTTCCATGTGTAGCTTCGTCATGGTTTAAGATATTTTGTTGTCTATGAAATATTGAATCCCTCACATGAACTGTGGTAATTATATGTATTAGTGAGATTATTATGGCCACAGTATTGCAAGAAGGGGATTGAAAGATTATAAGCAACTTCATATATGTGAAATTTGTTCTTTCTTTCCAGTAGTTGTCCAGTAATTTTAAGAGCTGGATAGAACGGGGAGGTGTTTTGTGTTATTGGGGAAGTTCTTCGTTTAAGGTAGTATTTTTCTTCTTTGTCCACTGGGCTTTGTTTCAATAGTTAAGAGCGCAATTCGTGATGTTAGTCGCACGTCACGTGTTCGAACCTTACTGCAACAAAACTTTGTTATTTAAGTGAAGAAAGGTAGAGGGGCGGGGTCATTTTCCACCGAGTTTCAAACCGTGCAGTAGTTGACCATCGGGGATTTCTTGATTATAAAAAAGAGAGTAGGTTTTTCTTCTTTTACGTGTTTCTAATCATCTTTGCCATTTTTTGTGACAGATTCACACTCACATGTGCTATTCAAACTTCAATGACGTGAGCGATTCCATTAAGGACATGGATGCTAGCGTGATCACCATCGAGGAATCCAGGTCTGATGAGAAGCTTCTTTCTGTGTTCCGCGGGGGAGTGAAGTACGGTGTTGGATTATACGCATCCATTCGCCAAACATTGAATCAACAGTAGAAATTGCTGACAGAATCAGCAAAATACTTGCAGTCCTTGATGCCAACATCCTCTCAGTCAACCCCGATGGTGGCCTTAAGATGTGCATGCATACTGAAGTTAAGCCTGCACTCAGCAACATGGTAGGTGCTACTAAGCTCCCCCTTGCACAGTTGGCCAACACCAAATGAGCTTGAATTACCTTAATTGATCCAACGAGAAGTCTGTTTGAAATTGCTACAACTGTTTTACTGTTATATGCGAATACTCTTCTTCAAGAAATAGTATGTAGGTTTCTGAGTTCCGGCAAATTGTCTGAGATTGCTATACCAGCTCCTCTAATCAAAGTGTATTTTGTATGTTCTTTAAAAATTGTTTATCTACCCTCTACATGATCCTAAAACTTATAACTAATATGTGTTTTGATTTTTCTCTTCAAATTAGTATGTAGATATTTATCTATCAGTTAGTCAACTACCTTTCAGTTTCAGAGTTGTTTTATTGTGGTTCATTTCATTCCAAACAAAACAGATTCCTGTTAAATACGTGTGCTAGTGTTAGTGCAAGAAGAATAACTAAACCTTAATCTCAATTAACTATATAACTTATATGGGTCCTTTACTTCTATTTGTTCTTTTCTTTCCCCTCAGTTAAGTCCATATGGATTCCAAAATATTGTAGGTCTTTTGAGACAATTTCCTTTCATATGATTTTAGGTCTATTTCGTTTGATTTTAATAACTTTAATTACCATTATATTGCGTACGCAGATTGGTGCACTTGGAAGTTATGGAACACATAACCATTTCAGACATATTCTCATTTGAACATACTCGATGCATGAACCATGAATTGAAACTTTTGTTTTGGTGTTTGCGAGGGGGGGGGGGGGTTATTTCTTTGCGGACATATAATAGATAATGGAACATGAAAACTTTGAAGAAGAGGAATAGCAAAAGCAGAGAAAACATGTACAGGTTGAGGAAGCATGTCAAACAGCCAAAGTCTGCATCCTTTTTGAGATTTTGGTGTCATACCATTGTTTTTGAGGAAGCATGCCAAACAGTCTGTTATTTTGATTAAAACAAAAATTCAAATCTTTTTGAGATGTTGGTGTCATACCATTGTTTTTGCTGCTTATTCATCCAAGCATCCTTCATTTAGTAAAAGAATTTCCTTCTATTGTAAAACCTTGCTTCAAACAACAAGCACTTCGATATTTGGTGGACACTATTCTGCTTTATCAATTGGGACACCTTTTTTTTTTGTTTTATACTCTCTGTAGTGTGTTTTTTGCATCTAGAAAGCTTTTACTAATATTTTTGTGTCTTCCAGGTAAACATACATCTCCACAGTGTCCACTGGTCCTGAAAAGGTTACTGCATCTTATGAGTACTTCAGTGGAATTGTTGTGCCATTTGCCTAGTAAAAACTAAACTATTAGCTGCAACGACACAATCCTGTTCCTCTACTGTCTCGAATGCAAATTCTAGCACGAGGAAGACCGCAGAAACCAAAAGTTACCTCCTTTGTAACAGGGTCAGAGTGTACCAATCCATTACAGATAAGGTCTTCCCCACAGGTACTATTGTGCTTCCTATTAGTTGTGAGGTGCCGATAAAGACGTTAGGTTCAAGCCCTAACGCATTTCTATGATGGCGTGGCCATATTATCCCAAGATATTTGAGTAAGACATTGATTCGAGTCTTAGTATACCATGGCGACTCACGATAAATTAATATATATTTGGTGTAAATATTGGGTGCATGTAAACTTTTACCAAGTTCCGTGAGTGATTTCACTAAAAATATTCCTCAAACTAGTTTTTCAACTTTAAATTCTCTATTTCAAGTTAAAGTTGAAATAATGTGAATTACGATTGGTTAAGAATATAAAATATATAAACTAATTTCAAGATTGCTTATAGTAAAAATAAAAATCCAACCAAACAAATTTTCTGAAAAATTAGTGGTATAAACTAGAACAAGGAAGACTAAATTAAGCTTAAGAGAGTAGGAAATCCAGAGAGCTATGTTACTTCTTCCTTCACTCAAAAACTCCAAAATGGAAATTCCCCGAATACCTTTTCTTCCACTTAGAACACGTGAGGACTAAAAGTGAAAACAGAAACTACAATGACCAGCCAAATGTGGAAATAATAAATATAAAGAGGGCCTAACTGTCAACTAGGGAATTTAGCAATTAGCTGGACAGCCCATTGTCGCATTTCAGCTCCTTCTTCAATTAGGGCACAGAGATCGCACACAGAATTTCTCGTTGGCGATTGCAATCAGATGACGAGAATCTCTCTGCTTCGTTACTCTTCCTATGGTATGATTCCCTTTATCTCATCTTATGCTATTTCACGTTCTGCTTCGGCAACCAGATATTATTCTTCATCTCATAGCAATATTGAGAATGTCAACTGTTTAGATGATGCTCCGAGTCTCTTTCGTCGAATGGTTAGGACGCAGCCTCTTCCTTCTGCTTTTAGCTTCTCCAAATTATTAAAGACTATGGTAAATATGAAGCATTACTCTGCTGTTGTTTCCCTTTTCGACAAATGCAGAAATCTGATATCCCAATTAGCGAATACATCTTGTGTATTGTGATTAACAGTTATTGCCTAATGCATCGTACTGATTGCGGATTTTCGGTGTTAGCCATTTACTTGAAGAATGACATTCCATTTAATGTTGTCACATTTAGCACCTTACTAAGGGGACTCTTTGCGGAAAATAAGATAAAAGATGCGGTTAACTTGTTCAAAAAGTTGGTGAGAGAGAACATTTGTGAGGCGAACGAATTCATGTATTCCACAGTCATGAATGGGCTTAGCAAAAGTGGCCATACTCAAAAGACTTTCGATTTGCTACGGCTAATGGAACAAGGAAGCACTAAGCCCGATGCATACATCTATAACATTTTTATAGATGCCCTATGCAAAGATAGGATGTTAGATGCTGCTATTAGCCTTTTTGAAGAGATGAAACAAAAAGGCATTCCTCCAACCGTTGTCACATATAATTCATTGATTGATGGTTTCTGTAAGTTTGGCCAGTGGGAAAAGGTTAGGACTTTGGTTCAT